GCGTTAGCCTATCGAAATCTTATATTGACATTGTAGATAAGCTAAAACAATCAAAAATTGCTGCAACAAAATACTGGCTGTTGCAGTCAATTAAAAATGCTAAGTCATATTTTATCATCTAATTTATTGTAGCAGCCAATCTTTTCTTTCAATGTACAAATCTTTTCCTTAAGAAGCGATTATATTCATCAATTAATCTAACATTTTTTATCATATTTTTGGATTTTCTTTCAATTAAAAAATGTTCTATTCTCCATGAAACGACATAACAAATTAAATTCTAACGCGTGCAATCACGTACTCGTAATCGAAATATACGAGTGATAGTCTTCGCATTATTCGAATACGGCTTCGCCGGGGGAGGGGGTCCTGCCAATAAATCTACGTGGGCGAGATCGGCTTTTAGATTAAAAGTGTACGGCTTGGGGGCACATAAAGAGGCGGGAAGGTGGGACTCAAGAGTTAGCCCATGAAATTTCTCGCACGCACGAGACCTCCTTGCTACTTGTTCTCGTTTGCATTCGTCGGCATCGCGCGATATACAGGCGCGAAGGTGCTTACTTTCGTCGCAGCGAATGCTCGACATTGTGGCTCATTGAAAAAGGAAGATATGGAGAGGAGCATGGGAAACGACGATGTGAAACAGTAAAGAAGAAGAAGAGGGAATGGAGGAGACGGAGGAGATGCTTACCGTTGAACTAAGGGAAGCCTCGTTACGTTCTCTTGGTCCAGGCGTATACGCAACAAGATAACATCAGTCCAGTGCGGATATACGCGAGAGAGTACGGCTACCTGCTGGTTATCGTACCATGGAAATAGCAAAACGTGCTCGCAGGCATAGCGTGAATTAGATGTACAATTTTTGATTATTTAAAGGATGGTTTTATTTTCGAATTATGCAGAGAAGTTTAATTCTATTATATCTATTGGATAATTAAATGAAGATATCAATTTTATTCTGAATAGCCCAATTATTCCCTGTTACAATTAATGCAGTTATTAATGCTTTAATCTAACTTAGAGTCCTAGAAACCGGAAGTGTTTGAACGAGAGTGATTTACATATCGTAACTTATTATACTCATTATTTCTTATTTCTTTGAGAATCAAGACTGTGCAGCGTAGTTCGCTTTGCTTAATGTCATGGTGCAATTAATGTCTGGCAATTTATACACGCACCGTTATGCGTCCCACATTATTAAATCGATTTATATTCCGATGCAGAGATTAACCACTTTATATAAAACATAAAATTTCTAACACAATAAGAGACAAATATTAGAGACAGACAAAAGTAATTACAAATATATAAAAGTTTGTTTTTTCGATATGTTTATTTATATAGATCAAAAAACATTATTTATTATATAGCTCAAAAATATATATTTAGTCATAATATAGATTATTTTTACGAATGTATTAAATGCCATAAAAGATTTTTATGATAAAAAATGAACAAGTCCATTTATCTTTGATATTTATATATTGATCTATTTTGTTATAAAGTTTTAGAAATATTAATATCTCTACACAATAATTAAATCTATAATTTTATTTATAATATAAATAAAAAAAATTCAGTCTATATTATATAATAAAATATATTGTAGATTTGATGTCAAAGCATTTTTTACGATATTAAAGGATTGCAAAAATGAGTTAAAATTGAAATTTATATATTTTTTGATTTTTTTGATAAATCAAATTTAACATTCACTGCGCACTTGAAAACTTAATAAATACACAAACTACTTTTCTCTGTTAACTTGACATACTTCCTTGACTGAAACATTCCTTGAGGGTACAATAATTAATCACCTTTTGTTCTATTTGCGAATCTCTTACTGGCTCTCAGTGTGAAATTTTTACTCGTCGTTCACATAATAAATGCCACCCTCGTCGAGCGTTAACGAACCTTCGCGCAGATCTTCGAGTGCGAAATGTACGAGTTATTGCTCGCTGTTGAAGTCACGCCGAATCGTGCGGCCTACGTCGACACGAGGCAAAAGACCGAAAGATACTCGCAAGCTCGCATTAAGTCCGTTCTCTCCTCTGTTTTCTTTTGTCTCGGCCTCCCCGCCTCTCTCGTTGTCTTTTCTCGTCGACAAGCACGGGCCTGCATCACGTCGAGAGTAAGAGGCGCGATCTCGTAATTATTACGTCGTGAAGGATGGGAAGTGACGCGATGATTACCGCCGTTGCCAGCCTCCTTGAAGCCCCTGATGCACCGCTCTCTTGCTCCGGTTCTATTTTCTTTATTTATCGCCAGGTTCCATTCGTGCGCCATACTTCGTACACGATTTGATGACGAGGATGTCGAGTCGCGCGTCGAAACACGTTTCTCGTAAACCATGTAATACATGACGCGTGCATTTATGAAGATAATAGAATGAGAAATTTTTTTTCTCAAATTAGAACAAGTTATAACATGATAGTAATTAAGATTTAATTGGTATGACGATGATGTAATGACTAACAGCTTTCATTCGAAGTTTATAAATAGTTATATGCTCTATTCACGCACACGCACACACACACACACACACGCGCGCGCGCGCGCGCGTGCGCGCGCGCACGCGCATACATAGAGAATATCTATGGCATTGTGATTGAACTTGCAAGAGTATCAAATGATTTTATCGTCGGAAACATGCTTGAGCGATCAAGGGAGATTAGATTCAAATCTAATTTAAAACCTCGGCTTTCATTGCGACCAGAAATACGCTACAAGTTATCCGATACAAAATATAAAGTACGAGAAGAGATCGACCCAGCGAATCATGCAACAGTGTAAAAGTGCTGTCATAGTCCTGACAGGGTCAATTATCCCCACCGTCGACCGCCGCCATTCTCGACGTTAATTGTCGAGCGGTATAACGTAGCACGACATGCCGGCAGCGCAGGCGCCACAATAAAAAGAAGAGCAAACGAAGAGTGCGTCCTCCTCGCACGATAGGATGCACCCAGCCGCCATTTTGGTGGCGGTGCAACAGAGGCGTAATAACTGCGGGAATTCATGGTAATGGCGATAATGCGAGCCCGGACGACGGGGTCGGCGGGACGGAAGAAGATAGGGGCGAGGCCCCTGAGGAGGCCCATCGAAGGAGTGGGGAAACACCGCGTGTCATGATGCAGAAACTTGCGTATGTTTCGTGCGTACATGCGAACACCGATCCCGAAAGAAAGAATCATGAGAGCGGGACCGGCGTGTTTCTGATTGGTCGGGGCACATCAACCGGATGTGAAGGTCGGCCTATACGTTAGGGCAAAGCATCCGAGAATTATCCCTTACAGTTTACACGTTACGATAGGAAACGTATAGGGAGGTCTGACGAATTCTTTTGTAGTCGACAATTGTTATCGTTACAATGCACTTATATTAATATTGTAATCAATTTCCTTCAGTTTAAAATCAAGAACAAACAAATATATATATGATTAGTATATAAATAATATATTTGGGGGGCAACTTTCGTTATAAAAAAACGGAAACAATTTTAGCAATGTCTGTTACAATAATTAATGCTAATACAAATGAGAGACAAGAAATGAGTAAGAAAAGATAAGAAAATACGGCATGAAATTTTCAACGATGTTCCGGCAATCTTCTGTAATATCTACTGCGGTTTTAATATTTTTCAATTTGTTTCTGTCTCTTGTATAGCAGCATTATCATTTTCTGTTTCTTTTAGCATGTAATTATACATGAAAAAATAATATAATATTATCTACGATTATGTAAAACTGTATATTGAATGCATTTTGCACTCTCATAATTAAGATGTGACAAAAATCACGACAGAAGAGATAAAAAACACAGTATGCTGTTGTACCTTTGCATTACTAATCATTACGTTTAATGAACGTGCTTAAGACGATCACCTCGTGTGCTTGTAATAATGATCTCTCTCATCATCGCATCGACATTTATCCTGTGTCCAACCCTTGATTTGGAGCAATTTCGAATAATGAAAATCCTCATATAATACTTCCTGTGTGTAGCAGGTAGAGTGAGAAATAAAGATGTTTGAAAAGTTCGCAAGCCAAGTCGTAGTATGTGTATAGGTATTCTTATAAAATGTATCATACTGTTATGTAATTAACGTACACACGTTAAATTTAACTTTTCAATAAAAAAAATCTTCTTTGTTTAATTTATATATTTATCCTTTTTTTAACGAAACTATATTAGAATAATACATGAAATAATAATTATGTATGACATAATGATAATTAGAAGAGAATCTGTGTATGTGTGTGTTTTGAACGCCCTTCATTAGGGTGTCTAGAAGAATAAGAATTTCACAGTTTCGTTACAATGAACCTTCGTTGACGTTTATTCGAGAGGGATCTCCCCAAATCCTGAAGCACGTACTAGACTGGAAAAGCTGTTTGACGAATAAATACGTTGCAAACACAGTCGAGTGTGTATACGAGGAATAACTCTCGGTCTTGATGTGGACAGATGTATGGCTCGAAAGAACACTCGTCTTTTGAGAACTACTAGCTGAAGTGATGACAAGAAAAACTGACAGAGCTTAGTAAATGACAAACGCCATATTGAAGCGAATGTATTTTGATAGTACTTCTACTCGTGCCTGATAGAAACCCCTTGAATTGCGATTGAGTGATGTTAATATGGAACAATTAAAACGTTTGAATAGAATTCATATTTAAAAGTTATGAGAAATTAAACATATTTACTTTTTAGTGTCGAAATTTTATTTAAATATCAATAGTTTGAAAGGAATTAATTTCTCGTGATTTTTTTCTTGTGAATGTGTAATCTTATAATTAGTGTATCACAGGACTTTAAAGATATAATTTTATTTTATATATTTTTTATGTCTATATATCAGCTTTTATAAAAGCGGATTTTAAACATCAAATCCTTGCTTCTGTTTACACTTGTATAACAAATAGTTAAATTAAAATTACCTAGTACATCATCTGAACAAAGAAATATGATAACATTCATATTACGAGAAATGTAAGACTTACCAAGGGTGCCATCCAGAGAAAAAGAATGCCTGTCGTTCCTCCATGCCCACGAACATAAATCGCAAGTAGTGAGTCCATCGGTAGCGATGCTCTCTTCGGGTAGATAAGGTGGTCTAGGTGGCGGGGGTACAAAGCTTCCAATAACAGCCCACAAGGAATCGACGTCGTTGCCGACACCGGTGTAATACAACAATTCTTCCTCGGCGACACCGGCGAACCAGTCCATATCGTTTACACTAGGATGGACTGTGTTCGTACTTGTCGTGGTTGAACCAGTGACCGTGACCTAAAAAATAATACAATTGGTCAATACAAATTCATAATATTAAAGCATGTTTAAAGACGTAGGAACTGTGTTTCTTACTCTTTCGATTTTAATGAAACATTATCTTTAATTAGACATAAAAATCTTGTAATTATATAATGCACGATATATTTTCATATATATGCAATTGAACATATATTTATGTTATAACCAATTATCTTACGTTTCTTTAATTTAAATAATAAAAATTTGAGAAATCATCTTTACATAGATATTTTAATTTTATGAAAAAGTTTTTCTATTTTAATTATATTTAATAATATATATTTTAGAAATTTCGCAACGTTTTTAATCATATCCATTAATTAATTTTATAGGATAAATTTGAGCGCAATCTATTACTAATAATTTATTAGATATAGTGTGTTTATATTTTGCTAGTCTATATGTCTCTCAATGCGCTTTGACAGTCCCAAGTAAACACAACTAATGGAACCTTGCTATCTCTGCGTGAATTGCAGATAAAGAATCGAATGCATCCAGTTCGTCCTCTGGTACATCGGTACATGTTTCAGGAAATGGTGGAACAAACAAACGTTAAAATCAAAAAGTGAGGAACAAAGTCGGCGCATTTCTGAATATTTTTCTTGCTTGAAACAGGGAACACCGGATGAAGCGGGTCTTCGCAAAGAGATGTTCAGTATCCTAACTCTTACGACAAATACTGAAAAACTATATAGGCAGTAGCAAACAAACGTGCCTTCTTTCTTTCTCTCGCTCTTTTAAATCGCTTTCTGCATCTCGTACAAAAATTTAATGAAGAGACTTACAAACATATAGCAACTAGACGTCTGTACGTTAATTAAGGAAATAAATTATGTAAATCTAGTAAATATATTCTCGAAGAAAAAGTAGAAGATAACGAGAATTACAAACATGTACGAATTTCTTTATTTTGATATAAATATAAATTAATGAGAGGATTAATTGTTTCACCTTCGGATAAATTGTGGTATTTACTCATCACTAATGGATAAAAGAGGAAGCGAATAAACTAAGATTTTTCGAAAGGTGGAACCACTTAAAACTTATGTTGTCTGATAAGTTTATTTCAATATAACGTACAAGAAGCTTATATCATTTAATTTATTGATTCCAAAATATTTGAAGTGTACATATTTTTTCCATAAGTAATAAATATGCATTTGAGATCATAACGTAATCGCACGGTTAACAGAGATAATCAAGAAAATTGAGAAATACTGTAACTGTGTACAGCATTGAATATATTCGAGTGTATAGCATGAAAATATATATATATATATATATATATAGGTAG